GTCTAATTTTAATCTTTTGCAGGTTGAGATCCAGTTTTTCCAACACCATTTATTAAAGAGGCTATCTTTCCTCCAGTGGGGACCGGCAGCTCCTTTGTCAAAGATGACGTAGCTGAGTGCATCTGGAGTTGTTTTTGTGTCTTCCAATCTGTTCCACTGATCCTCAGGTCTGCTTCTTTGCCAGTACCATGCTGTTTTTATCACAGTGGCTTTGTAGTATAGTTTCAAATTGGGAATTGTTATACCCGCTGCCATGTGTCTGCTGCCTAGGATGGCTTTTGCTTTCTAGGTCTCTTATGGTTTCAAATGAATTTTTGGATTCTTCTTTCTAGTTCTGTGAAGTATAGTGTTGGGGTTTCAATTGGTATTGCATTGAATCTGTATAGAGTTTTGGTAGTATGGCCATTTTCACTATGTTGATTCTTCCTACCCAGGAGCGGGGGACATCTTTCCATTTTCTTAAATCCTCCTCGATCTCTTTTTTCAGAGTGCTGTAGTTTTCAGTGTAGAGATCTTTTGCTTCTTTTGTTAGATTGATTCCCAGATACTTCATTTTTTGGGGTGCTATTGTGAAAGGAATTGTTTCCCTAATTTCTTTCTCAGTGAGTCTGTTATTTGTGTACAAGAAGGCTATTGATTTTTGGGTGTTGACCTTGTATCCAGCTACTCTGCCAAAAGTGTCAATTAAGTCGAGAAGTCTTTTGGTGGAGTTTTTTGGGTCTTCAATATAGTATACTGGCTTCTAAAGATCGATTACGCCTGGCCATGGTGGCACACACCTGTAATCCTAGCATTTGGGAGGCTGAGGCAGGATGATCACTGTGAATTTGAAGCCAGCTTGGGCTACATAGTGAGTTCAAGACTAGCCTGAATTGCGAAGTGAGACTCTGTCTTAAATCATGTGCTCAGCCTTACTCTCACTATTACTCTTAGATTTTTTATTTTTATTTTTTTATTTGGGTTTTTTTGTTTTTTTGTTTTTTTGAGACAGGGTCTCACTATGTAGTTGAGACTGACCTGGAACTCACTATGTAGCCTAGGCTGGTCTCAGCAATCTTCCTGCCTCAGCCTCCGGAGTGCTGGGATTACATGCATGCACCACCACGCCCAGCTACCTGTTTAATGTGTAAGGCATTACAGAGACCTCATATAACAATACAAACTGCCACATGAATACTTTAATAATATTATAGCTTAGAGTATAAAAATACAAAAGGCCTATTCATGTTTATTAAAAAAAAAAAAAACACTAACCAGAGATAATTTTTTTTGGTACTACTAATCCTCCACATAGCTCTACCACAGACCTGTACCGCCAGCTCTGAATTCTAACATCTAACATCAAATTTTACTGTATCTGTGGAACCTGGAGGTTAGGTGAACTGTTTATGCTTCAGTGTGGGTTAACAGGGTTTCTCACTCTTGCACTTGAGAATCACCTGGGAAACCTTGACAGCTCCCCAAGCCTGTGCCCACACCCATTTCTGGTTTACTTGGTCTGGTGCTGGGTATTGAAAAGCATGCTAGGTAAATTTTATTGTACTCTATCATGACTAAAAAGTAGCTCCCCTAGCTGGCTGGTGACCCATACTTGTAATTCTAGCACAGAGAAGAATGTGGGCAGCCAGGAGCAGTTTGAAGCCAGTCCTGTCCCGCAAAGCCAAAACATAAAAACATTTTAAAATCTCCTTATACTTCTGGGCATGGTGGCACACGCCTGTAATCCCAGCACTGGGGAGTCAGGCAGGAGGATCGCTGAGAGTTCGAGACCAGCCTGGGCTACATAGTGAGTTCCAGGTCAGTCTCAACTACATAGTGAGACCCTGTCTCAAAAAACAAAAAACTCCTTATACTTTTTTAATCCCTTCATGATGTTGTTATGTAACCTCCTTTGAGACTCATTGGTAAATGAGGTTAGGGTTAGGGTTACATTTTTTTTTTTTTTTTTTTTTTTTTTTTTTTTTTTTTTTTTTTTGGTTTTTGAGACAGGGTCTCACTCTGTAGTTGATACTGATCTGGAACTCACTGTGTAGCCAAGGCTAGTCTTCAACTCACAGTGATCCTCCTGCCTCAGCCTCCTAAGTGCTGGGATTACAGGTATGCGCCACCATGTCGGGCTTGAAGTCCTTAACTTTCACTTATCCTTTTTTTTTTGAGACAGGATCTCATTATGTTGTTCAGCCTGGCCTTGGTGTTACTCTGTAGCACAGGCTGGCCTCAAATTCTCAGTGATTTTCTGCCTCAGCTTCCTATGTGCTGGAATCACAGGTGTGCGCCACCACACCCAGCTACTTCATGATTTCTTCCAGTGACATTTATTAAATCACTGGTATTTGCCTTGAAATTTTGTTTCCTTGTCTTTGAAGAAAAATCATATAGGGCCAGGGATTTAGCTCAGTGGTGTTGCCTCCTGCTTGCAAGCATAAGATCCTGAGTTCGATCCCTGGTACTCCCTCCGAAAACAAATCTGAATCAGTGACCCTGAAATAGTCTGTTTATTGGAGAAGTTATTCTAGCATTGTTCAGAGAAAGCCTATTTGTTAAATTTTGTTTGCAGTAATAGGGAATAAACCCAGGACCTCTCCACTGAGCTATTTCCCCAGCCCTTCCCCTCCCTGTTACCCAGGAATCCATCTCAGGACCTTGGGCTTGTGAGGCAAGCACATCACCACTGAGCTAAATCCCGAGCCCTCCAGCCCTTTTTTTTGAGAGAAAAACTTCATAAATTGCTAAATTGCCCAGACTGGGCTTGATTGTATCCTTCTACTTCAGGTCCCCAGAATGGTAGGACTGTGTGCCACTGTGCCTGGCCAGAAATTGCTGTTGTTCATCAAATAGTGAATGCTCCTTATACAGCCGAGTGTGCAGGATGTTCAGTATGTTTCATCTCTGTTCATCACAGCCCTGGAAAGAGTTATTTCCATCAAATAGGTAGGATAGGAAATAGGCTCTGGATTTCAGGAACATTGATAAGGTCATACAGCATGACAGCAGAGCATGGTTTGAACCAGAAAGGTAACTGCAGTATCACTGTAGTGATACTGTGTGATACTGGGAATTGAATTCAGAGCCTTGTGAGTGCTAGGCAAGTATCGTATCACTGAGCTGCATCCCCAGCCCAATCAAACACAAATGCAAACACATAGCTATTCCTCAAAACAACAATATGTATTGCTCCATCTTTGAAAGAATTTTGAGATTAATTTGCCCAAAGTCATGATAATAGTAGACATGGTATTCGAAATAATATCTGACTGGCATGCACAAGGTCCTGAGTTCAATCCCTGGTACCAAAAATAAAATAATAATAATAATGATATCTGACTTCAAAGCCTTTCTAGTCATTGCCTTTCTATTCCTTCTCCATCCGTAAAAACAGAAATGTATGTTTATGAATTGTACTTAATGGGTTATGTATAAAAAATAAGTGAATATAAGTTTTTCTCTTCTCCCATTGTAGGGACTCTGAGATCATGCAACAAAAGCAGAAGGCAGCTAATGAGAAGAAGTCTATGCAAAGAGGAGAAAAATAATGACCAGCTCTGAGAAACATGGGTGCTACTGCCAGCTGCTACATCTTAAGCTCCAAGATCAGGATTCCTTAGAATGCATAAGCATTACATGTGTTATAACTCATCCTCATGAAACTGTTTACCTCAAACTTTGTTTTTCGGCCTTAGTGTGATGTTTCAGAACTGTTCTTCAAAGAATAAAAGTAAGGCCGGGCGTGGTGGTGCACACCTGTAATCCCACCACTCGGGAGGCTGAGGCAGGAGGATTGCTGTGAGTTCGAGACCAGCCTGGGCTACATAGTGAGTTCCAGTTCAGTCTCAGCTGCATAGACCCTGTCTTCAAAAAAAAACACAAAGAACAACAACAAAAAAATAAAATGTGCATGTGACATTGGTGAATATTATTTTTTTATTTTGGTACTGGGGATTGAACTCAGGACCTTGCACTTGCAAGGCAGGCGGTGGCAGCATTGAGCTAAATCCCCAGCTAATTGTTTTAGTCTTTTGTTTTTTGGTACCAGGGATCAAACTTGGGTTCTTGCACTTACAAAGCAGGTGCCACAACCACTGAGCTAAATCCCCGGCCCTAATTGTTTTGGTTTTTAAGACAGGGTCTTGGTATGGTAAATATTATTTTTATCAGCAAGTAAACATTTCTATAATTAGGTACTGTGATCAGAGAGTAGGGTCTTTTACGTAGAATCTAGAATATTCTAGAGTCTAGAATCTTTGTCATCAATTTTGTTAAAGTAAACCTTTAAAATAAATTTTGTCATACAAGTCCAGTGCTGTAACTTGGTTGCTGGTTAACCTGGCATGCACAAGGCCATGGAATAAACTCAAGCACCACCAAAAAAAATGTGTAATGAAATTTAAGGTCCTTTTGTGTAATTTTGCTTTGTATTAAACTGGCTTGCTTGAAGATAATACATGGGCTGGGGATTTGGCTCAGTGGTTTCACCACCTGCTTGGCAAGTGCACGGTCCTGAGGTTCATCCCCAGTACCAAAAAAAAAAAAAAAAAAAAAAAAAAAAAAAAAAATTAAGACAAACAAAAAAAAAAAAAAAAAAAAAAAAAAAAAAAAAGTACAAATCATCTGGAATACCAAATAAGTAAATATGAATTAAATGAGATAATTCAGTGAAAGTTTTCTTGATAATTTTAAATGTTTTTAGAATGAGTCATTTTAGTGTGATCTGAGTCTCTTAAAAAAACTGGTAACTTTGGATCTGGCCATAGTGGCACACAGCTATAATCCCAGCATTAAGGAGGCTGAGGTAGGAGGATTGCCACAAGTTCAAAGCCAGCCTGGGCTACATAGACAAATGCCCGCCTGAACTGCAAAACAAGACACGCTAAAAAAAAAACAAAAAGTTGACTTTGAGCTAGTGGTTAGCACAATAGAAAAGCGTTTGCATGGCACACATGACACTTTGACTATGATCCCTGGCACAGGGCAGAAAAAGTTGTTTCATGGTGGTTATTAATTGCAGTTTAATACATTAACCTGGTTAAAGTAAGGCATGAGGGAGGTACTGTTCTGAAGTGAACGTGCATAATCATGTCAAAAAGAATCAAAATGCCATTGGATTTAATAAGATAAAGTATATTTCAAATACTTGGTTTGTCACATAATCCAATTCACTTTTTTGGGGGGTACTGGGGAACAAACTAAGTACCTTACACTTGCAAGACAGGCACAGTGCCTCTAGCTAAGTCTCCAGTCCCTCCAGCTCACATTTTTACTGATCACCTTTAACATGAGCCACTAACTGAATAAACATCTTCAAGTTTCCTTAATATCTTAATTTATTCCAGTTAAAACATTCATTAAAGTGAAACATTGATCTGTGTTGGTCAGTCTTCAAATTTTTCTATGCTGATAGTCATAAGGGCAAAAACATTACAACAACTAAACATACAATCTAGTAAAATGGAGAAGTCTGAAGGTACCACAAAGATTCATTGTGGACCTAAATTTTGTAATTCTATCTGTAGACTTTCTATATGGAGAAATAAGATATGAAGACAGACCTATGCTCTAAGCTTTATCTTTCATTTGCTTTTTTAAAAGTAATACCCATAATTTAAAATATTTTGTAAAGCTGGGGATTTAGCTCAGTGCTTCTGCCGCCTGCTTTGCAAACACAAGGACCCGAGTTTGATCTCTGATACCCCTCCAAAAAAGAAAAGAAAAAAAAAATCTTTGTAGAGTAGATGAACTTTAGACTTTCTGAAACAGTTCTTCAGGGGCCAGGGATTTAGCTCAGTGATACCGCTGGCATGCCTCACAAGCGCAAGGACCTGAGTTCGATCCCTAATACCAAAATAAAAACAATTCTTCAGGAGGCTGAGGCAGGAGGATCATTGAATTCAAGGTCAGCCTGAACTGCATAGTGAACCTTGTCTCAAAAACAAAAACAATTTAGTTTTTATAAATACAGGAAAAACAGATTCAAAAGGACATGGTTTGGGCCGGGAATGTAGCTCAGGAACTGGGGCCTGCCTGGCAAGTGCAAGGTCCTAAGTGGTGGTGGGGGCAGATGTAGATATTAGGCTGACTTATAACCTGCAGTAGACAGGGTTTTGCTATGTTGGTCTTGAACTCCTGGACTCAAGTGATCAACTGAGTGCTGGGATTACAGGTGCATACCTCAACCCCAGATGTATTTGGTCTATTATTGTCAACCATAACTATTCAATAATCAAAACAGTAAAAACTTTTGTCAGCCTGCATCTTTATATTCTCATATACTTGCTATATAGTAATTACGAATTGCGATAATTACCTTTGGCCAAGTCATAGAAGTATCACTGAGAATGGAGAATGACAATAAATGCTCGCTGGGCGTGGTGGCGCACGTCTGTAATCCCAGCACTCGGGAGGCTGAGGCAGGAGGATCGCTGTGAGCTCGAGTCCAGCCTGGGCTACATAGTGAGTTCCAGGTCAGTCTCAACTACATAGTGAGACCCTGTCTCAACAAATAAATAAATGAATGAATGAATGAAATTAACATACTGTGTGGTGCTGAGGATTGAAACCAGAGCCTGGGGCATGCTAGGCAACTATTCTACCGTCAAGCTACATCCCCAACATTCACTTTAAAAATAGGAATAAAAGGTCCTAAATTCACTAGCTCTATTTGAGACATAAAACAAAAAAATATACGAAACTCCTAAGACCATTATATTATGCCCCAGGACGACTGTCTACTCGTTGCTTGTCCTTACTCCGTATAATAAACTACCTGCACATTATTTTCTAATAAAATTTCTTGCTTTAAAAAAACCGGGTGGAATCACTTTATGAAAATACAAGAAAGCGAAATCAAAGGATTAAAAGAGGGAGAAAAGAAAAACCCACGGGGCCAAGATGGGAGCATAGTAGTAGTTGCACGAAGCGTGCGAACTCCTCCAAGTCACCCTCCCGGCCACCGTGCTTTTCCGGTCCCAGAAGCCCCGGCGGCGGAAGTCGTCGCTCTAGGCTGAGCCCCACACTTCCCATCCTGCGAAAGGCTCGCCATGGCGATGGGCAGCAAAGGCGACGGCGGCTGCGTCCCGGAGCAGGAAGATTCTGTGCTGTTCCGGCGTGGTACAGGCCAGGTGAGCTCGCGGGCCGCGCATCCTCTGTACGCGCACTGGCCATACACTTAGACTTAGCTAATGTGCTTACTGTGGGGCCGTGCTCCACATGTTCATCTTTTCCTACGCCCCTTCCTGGGAGCCCCAACTCGCCAGCTCTGGCCTCGCTCAGTTTGGGCAACTTGATGGCTTTAGCCTACTGCACCTTGATTTGTCCACCCTTCCTGACCGAGGGGTTGCGAGGGCAGGGTCAGAGAGAAAATGGGAAACCAGTGGACGTCTGATGAAATGATCAGATTTAAACTATCGGTAGACTCAGACCACAGTGTTTGGGTTTTGGATATACTCAGTATTCACGGTAGCTTCTAAAAAGGGGGGCTTTAGAGAAATGATGAGGATAACTCATGGATAGTGAACAGATGGAGTTTTTCGGTTTTTTAGGTTTTTTTGGTACTGGGGATCGATCTAAGGTCCTTGCGCTTGAGAGGCAGGCGGGGGCAACACTAAGCTAAATCCCCAGCTCTTGAAGTTGGTTTTGTTTTTTGGGTTTTTTTTTTTTTTTGGTGGGTTTTTGTTTTGTTTTGTTTTTTGGTACTGGGGATCGAACTCGGGTCCTTGCACTTGTGACTTATGAGGCAGGCAGCAGAACCACTGAGCTACATCCCCAACCCTTTTAAGTTGCTTTTTACTATCATGTACTGAGACAGGTAGGAAGGAAGACTGAAAGTACAACAGGAACTTAGTCTTGGGCGCAGCATATGTGGGTGAAATCTGATTAAAGAGAAGAAGCCATGCTGGTGGCACATGCCTGTAATCCCAGCACTCTAGGAGGCTGAGGCAGGAGAATCTCAAATTTGAGCCCAGCCTGGGCAGTTTAGTGACTTAGTGAGACCCTGATTGGAAGAAGAAAAAAAAAAAGGCTGGTGATACATCTCAGTGTGAAGGCCATGGGTTCAACGATCAATCACTCTTAGGGGAAAATGGCAGAAGAGTGTTCAGGGCAACATTTGTGAACAACCATTTTAAGGAGCTTTATTGTAAATAGAACCTGGAGAAATGGTACATTAGATGGAGGGAACAATGAAGTAAACAAGGTTTTAAGTTATGTGTACTTATTTATTTTGGTACTTGGGATTGAACCCAGGGAGCACTGATCTACCACCCTCGACCATTTTTTAAATTTTCATTTTGAGGCAGGATCTCCATCAGTTTCCCAAGCTGGGCTGGGACCTGTGATCCTCCTGCCTCAGCCTCCAGAATAGCTGGGACTACAGATGTTCACCACCATGGCCAGCTATTATTAGTGTATATTACATTTAGAGGCAAATCCTCTTACTTTTTCATTTATCTCAGGTAAATGCTTAGGGGTAGACGTACTTGATGTACTTTAAAATCTGTCTGCCTTTCTTTTTTCTTTTTCTTTTTTTTGAGACAGGGTCTCACTGTGTAGTTGAGACCGCCCTGGAACTCACTATGTAGCCCAGGCTGGTCTTGAACTCACAGCAATCCTCCTGCCTCAGCCTCCCAAGTGCTGGGATTGCAGGAGTGCACCACCACGCCCAGCTTCTTTTTTTTCTTTAACAAAACTACTAGAATTTGAAACCAGACTCTTCACACTAAACTACATTTCCCAACCTTTTTTTATTTTTTAATTTTCTTGAGATAGGGTCTGCTATGTAATTCAGGTTGTCCTTGAACTCTCTGTAGCCCAGGCTGGTCTCGAACTCTCAGTGATCCTCCTGCCTCAGCTCCCCAGTGCTGGGACTACAGGCGTGCACCACCTTGGTCAGCTGTATTTTAAATCTAAGAAATTTCCAAATTCTTCTTCTAAGTGGGTAAACCACTTTGCATTCTATCCAGCAGTATATGAAAGTTTCTCTTACGTTCTTGCAAACATTTGATACTGTCAGGTTACTAATTTTAGATGTTGTAGGTATGTGATGGCATTGTATGGTTTTAATTAGCATTTCCCTGATGACTAATGGTATTCAGCACTACTCATTGTGCTTATGTGCTATTCATTCATATATGCTCTTTGGTGAAGGGTCTGTTCAAGTTATTTGTGTGTGCACGCCCCCTGCCCTTTTCTGCGTTTTTTTTCTTTTTGGTTTTCTTGAGACATAGTCTCACATTGTAGCCCAGGCTGGTCTCAAACTCGCAGTGATCCTCCTTCCTCAGCTTCCTGAGTCCTGGGATTCAGGCATGCACCACCACACCAGGCTGACCTTTTTAAATTAGATTTTGTTTCTGCTGAGGTTTGAAAGTTTTTCATGTATATTTGGTTATGCTAAATTAAGATGGCTCTTGGTACTGTTCAGTACATTTTTGATGAAACCCATCTAAATATGAATTCTTTCTATTCCTTCCCAGAGTGATGATTCTGACATCTGGGATGATACAGCATTGATAAAAGCTTATGATAAAGCTGTGGCTTCCTTTAAGGTATGAAAGGTTCACTCTGTGTGTGGGGGTGAGAGGAGGTACTGGGAATGGAACCTAGGGCCTTTGTTTTTCTTTTTGGTTTTGGTTTTTTGAGACGGGTCACACTATGTAGTCTTTGTTTTTCTTTTTGGTTTTGGTTTTTTGAGACGGGTCTCACTATGTAGTTGAGACTGACCTGGAACTCACTATGTAGCCCAGGCTGGTCTCCACAGCGATCCTCCTGCCTCAGCCTCCCAAGTGCTGGGATTACAGGTATGCACCACCACACCCGGCACCTAGGGCCTTTGGACTGAGCTGCTTCCCAACATGTTTTGTTTTTTTTTTTTTTGAGACCTGCCTGTTGGGGAGTTGTAAGTATATACTACCAAGCCTGGCAGCATTTTGTTTTTGTTTGTTGTGTTTCTAGTGCTAGGAATTCTGGCATATGGTAGTCAAAACTGCAGAGCTACATCAACCAGTTAATTTAATCATTCCAGATGGTGAGTTGGGGGTCAAGTGCAGTGGGAGTAAGATTTTACACTTTCAGGAGGTGTAATCTGATACCATGGTTTCCACAAGACACGTAGTTGTCCATTGTTTTCCTCAAAGACTGAGATAACTAGTGTTAGTGAGCACCAGGTGTGGCTCGTCTGCTGTCCAGGCAGCATCAGATCAGTGCACAGGGCACACATTTAAACAGAACACCAGGGCTATAAATCCAGTTGCTCCCTGTAGCTGTTCTTGTAGCTTGCGGTAAGAATCAGAGCTCTGCTACCTTTGCATCTGAGCTCTAGAGTTTTTAATCTTTCCATTGTACACTGGAAGTTGATTAAGGAAGTGTTACCTTGAGGGCTCTCTAATACACAGATGGAATTGGGCTCCATATGGAATAGTCAGTGATACTACCGGGGAAAGTAGTCTAAGAAAAGGAGTATAGGGCTGGGGGTTTAGCTTAGTGGTGTCGCTGCCTGCTTCACAAGCACAAGGTCCTGAGTTTGATCCCTGGTACCAAAAAAAAGGAAGAAAGAAAAATAAAAGGAGGATAGAGTTTGGGGGAAAGATAGTTTGCTTTTACTCATGTTGACTTTGAGTAGGAAGATGTGAATTGGAAATGCTAGCTCAAACTAAGGACAAAGTCAAGAGCTAGATAATGGCTTTTACAGGTCTGTTTTTGTAGAGGTTATAACAGAAGTAACAAATAAATTGCCTTAAGCAGGTAAAGAAGGATGACCAGCTCTTGCTGGGAATGCCTAAGAGTAAGACTTTATCAGAAAGGCACAGAAGCACTGGGGTCTTAACATTTCTGTGTTATCCAAGATGTCACGAATATAAGAAGAAAGAGGTAGCTGGGCAAGGTGGCACATGCCTTTAATGCCAGCATTGCGGGAGGCTGAGACAGGAAGATTGCAAGCTCAAGCCCAGCCTGGGTGACTTGCCACTTAAGGGGGTCCAGTAGAGCTAGAGGTGGGTGAGGGGTGGGAGGGGAAGATCAACAGGACCTACTATTACAGAGAAATTGAGGGCACAGAGACTTGACTAAAAAGGGTCTTTCAAGCCGATAATCAGATGCCCGATGCCTTCAAATACAGCTCTTGCCAGGTGTGGTGGTACACACCTATAATCTCAGCCCTCCAGAGGCTGAGGCAGGAGAATGGCCATGAGTTTATGGCCAGCCAGGGCTACACAATGAGTCCCTTTCTTACATACATACATACATTTGTCATCAAAAGGGGATTTGACTCGGTGTTGCTGCCTGCCTCACAAGCATAAGCCACCGAAAAAAAAACAAACAAACAAACAAACAAACAAAAAACGTTTCTATACCATAGGATGGCAAAGAAAGAAAGCAGAGGCTGAGGTGGTGAGAACTTGAGGTCATCTTTTGTAGTAACTTGAGTTATGCTTTGACTTTTTAAAAATGGGTCATTCTGTGACGTGTACATTTCTATTCCTATTTTCTTAGCACGCTTTAAAGAATGGTGACATTTCAGATAAACCGAAAGGTGAAACTTCAGACAAACCAAAAGACAAACCTAGAAGAAAACCTTTTAAGAAGAGTAAAAGCCAAAAGAAGACTACCACCACCCCCTTGAAACAGGTTATTTTTAAATACTGAGATTTACCCTGAGAGCATTTGTGGTTACTGTCCTTCCTTACTGAGTAGTTGTCATATATCTTTTATTTATTTTTTCTGGGATTTGAACTCAGGACCTTGGGCTTGCAAGACAGGTGCGGTGCCACTGAGCTAAATCCCCAGCCCTTTTCTCTTAACTATTACTACAGTGTTTCTTATTGACATTGATGTGTAGTGATAGAACTCTCACAGCAGCTGTGAAGCCTGCTGCTATTCAGGAACATGCATGTGATTAATGAAAGTGTGAGGAATTGGGTAGGATGGAGCGGTGCAGGGGTGTTTGCTTAGAGGGTGGAGAGGAGGGAGATGGTGCTGTGTGAGGAGAACCTGAGTGTCTCAAGCTGAATGGCAGTGTTTTGCTTTTCAAGCTGAGAGAGGCATTTTAGTTTTCTGCTCTTTCTTCAAAAACTCTCAAAACTGTTCATTCTGGAGAGCCACAAATTCTGGGTAGTTATTTCTATTAGTTCAGATCAGTGAACTAGAAGGTAATTGTTTTTTAAAGAAGCTAAATATTTCAGTGTCTTACGTATTCATCTTTAGTATTGTCGTTAACAAAGGGGAGAGAGCACCAGATGAACAGCTGCTCTGTAGCAGACCCAAGTGCTGGCCACTGCATACTTCTGTCCTTCCTGCTCCGCATGGTGAATGCGGAAGGCAGACTGTGACCACCGGTTCACGGGAGGGGAAGGGGACTAAGTGAGTAAGGGCCTGTCCGTGACTGTACACTTGGCACAGTTGGAATGGATCTGTGTGGTTTAACCCAGAGCCTCATCACCTTACTGCTCTGCCCTCTGCATCCGTCCCTAGGGACCTCTCTGTGTGCTGTGCCCTCGTCCAACCCTCGCGGTTTGTGCCATGTGCTTATTTGTCTGGAACTTCTCTCCTAGTGGAAAGTTGGGGACAGATGCTCTGCTGTTTGGTCAGAAGATGGCTGCATTTACCCAGCTACCATCGCTTCTGTTGATTTGAAGAGAGAAACCTGTGTGGTGGTCTACACTGGATATGGAAACAGAGAGGAGCAAAATCTGTGCGCTCTGCTTCCCCCGACCTGTGAGGCAGCTGACAACATGGAACAGAGTGCTCAGGAGGTAAAGACAGGAAGTTTCTCATCCCTCCCAGCAGAAACTAGATGAGAAACCACATAATGTAACTAGTTGTCTGTTTGATGCAGACAAATTCTTAATGCCTTTTATAACAAAGATTTGTTTGTTTTGAAAGAATGAAAATGAAAGTCAGGTTTCAACGGATGAAAGTGAGAGCTCTTCCAAGTCTCCAGGAAGTAAACCAAGTAACATCAGGTCAAAAGCTACGTCCTGGAACTCCTTTTTCCCTCCGCCACCACCCATTCCTGGTTCGGGATTGAGACCTGGAAAGGTAAACTCCCCAGAAAAGGTTCCAGGAAATATTGAGGCTTGCGGGGGGTGGCTTTCCTTTGAAACTTGTGGCTCTCTTTAATTCTGTTTTATGTTTTTTGGGGAAGTGGTTGTTTTTGAGACCTGAGTCTGTGTTGCCTAGGCTGGCCTCAAACTCAGGATCTCCCTGCCTCAGCCTCCTGAGCATCTAGATTAGTAGGCGTGATTTGAGAAGTCTTTGAAAAGGAAATAAGATAGTGATGAAAAATGGTTTATACAGAAAGACTTACAGAACTTGTAATACTTTTGTTATCAGCTGGATGCTCTTGTATAGTTCACCATGTCACCTGTATCAAATATTTAAGAAAAACATAGTGTTCAGTTTAGCGTGGATAAAATCCTAAGGTGTCTTGGATTGTTTCCTAGAGTGGAAATGTAGATTCAAAAAAAAAAAAGTGTTCAAATGGGAAAAGTATCTAGGGAGGGGGCAGGGGAAAGAAAGGAAGGGAAAAGGAAAAAATGAGAAAAGAGAAAAATGTAAACAAAGCTTTTGTAAATAAGGAAGGGAAGAGGGGTTGACGGGAGGATAAGGGAATGGGAAAAAATAAGAATCAAGATATATCATGTACAGGTACAAATTCTCTATGATGAATGTGATCATTATGTATACTTGAATTATACCAATAAACTTTAAAAAAAAAAATGTCGATTCATGTGCTGCAGATTTAGCTCAGTGGCACTGTGCCTGCCTCACAAGTGCAAGGTCCTGAGTTCGATCCCCAGTATTAAAAAAAAAATGTAGATTCATATATGGCTTTATTGGACCAGAGATTTAGCTCAGTGGTTCCGCAGCCTGTCTTGCAAGTATAAGGACCCAAGTTTGATCCCCGGTACCAAAAAAAAAAAAAAAAAAAAAAAAAAAGTAAAAGCTGGGCATGGTGGTGCATGCCTGTAATCCCAGCACTTGGGAAGTTGAGGCGGGAGGATCACTGTGAGTTTGAGACCAGCCTGGGCTACATAGTGAGACCCTGTCTCAAATACCCCCCCCCAAAAAAAATCATATATGGCTTTATTGGTTATAAATTACAGAAATCAACTTTTTAGAAAAGAGTTTTACAGGGGCTGGGGATTTGGCCCAGTGGTTCCACTGCCTGCCTTGGAAGTGCAAGGGCCCAAGTTTAATCCCTGATACAAAAAAAAAAAGTTAAAGAGATTTACTATAGGCTAAATAAGTCTAGAGCCCAAGGGTAGGTCCATGTCTGTGAAGCAGTAATTTCTTCCCTGGGGATATGGTGGTCAGTTTTAAATATCAGGCACAGCTTATTCAAGCTTTTCCTTAAGATTTTCTGTGATGGCTTTCTTACTGAGGGCCACATTATATTTGTTTCCTGAATGTAAAATGACCAAATACACGATTCATCAGTCTGGTGGTTTTCATCAGATGAGAGGGCTGCTAGTGTTCACAACATGTGCTCCACGCTAAGGGCTCCCTTCAAAAGGAGTTAGCGTAAGTCAAGGGGAGAGTGAGAGCTTTCACAGCCGGAGGGTCTTACTAAACATACCACCTCTGACTTACTGGAGAGGTATACATCTTTCCTACCCCGGTTTTTTTGAGGTGCTATGGGTGGAAACTAGAACTGTACACTGGCTAAGCAAGCACCCTACCACAGAGCTGTACTTTCAATCTCAAAATCTACTTTCCCTTGATTATACTTCCTCAATGTGAATATGTGAAAAATCTAGAAGTTATTTAACTTAAAAGTCTGTGTGACTTCAGGATTCAGTACATGAAATTGTGTCGTCTTTTTATTATGTATAAAACAAATATTCTGGGTAATTACTTTTCTTGGTTTGGGATCCTTTTTCTTTCATCAAAATTAGTAAATTTTCCTTTGATATATTCTTTATAGGCAGGTCTAAAATTCAGTGGCCCACCTCCCCCACCGCCCCCACACTTCCTGTCGTGCTGGCTGCCTCCACTTCCGTCTGGACCACCAGTAAGTACAAAAGTCAAGGGAAACTTTGCTTTCATATTGAGTTTGGGATTTAGCGGAGACCATGCCCTGGTTCAGACTCTAATGGATGGAAATTTAAACTAAAGGTCACTTTTTTTGTTTTGTTTATTGTTTTGGGGGTTGGATAACATCTTGCTTTTGTAAATAAGGCTGGTTTTGAATTTACTATGTAGTGATCTTCCTGCCTCAGCCTCCCAAGTGCTGGGATTATAGATGTGCATTACTGTACGCGGCAGGTTGTTTTTTTAGTTTTGTTTTTGTTTTTCGGTGCTGGGGATTGAACTCAGGACATTCCGCTTGTGAGGCAAGCAGTGGCACCACTGAGCTAAATTCCCAGATTGTTTTTTTGTTTTGTTTTTAGCACCCTTCTGTTATCAAGTGTGGTCTTTAACCACATCCCTGAGCTCTGTGTCCTCTGCTGCTTTCAGGCCTGAAGCTGGTGCCTGCTCAATGGGAAGGTAGCTTCTAGTAGGGTGGCACAATTACACCATCTGTAAGCAGTTGTGTCCCCCACCCCGCAGGGTACTTGGCTGTCAGCTTCTGATGATGTAATGTGTATTTCTAATGGTAAGGTTTAGGTGTTAACAGTAGATGAGAAGACACATTTGGCAGACTGTATTTTTATGGGAGTAGAGCAGATATTCTACCTAAGACCTTTATTTACAATGTGTGGATGGGGTGTGTGTGTGTTTTAGGAAAGACAGATGTTTATGCTTGGTCTTTTATTCACAATTTTAACAGTGGAAGAGAAAATCCAATCAAATTAAAATATTTAGTATTTTATGTCAACTACTATGTTTTTTTGTTTTTGCTTTGGTTTTGGTACCGGTGATCAAACTTGGTCCTTGTGCTTTTGAGGCAAGCAACGGAACCACTGAGCTAAATCCCCAGCCCTCAGCTACTATGTTTTGATCCTTGTTAAATTTAGTTTTGTTGGCATTGTTCATTGGCATTCTCCACTATTACAAATTAGGTGTGACCATCCTATGTCCTGGTCGGCTAGTAAATCGGCCCCAGAAGATCATAAATGTTATTTGTCTGTTTGTTTATAATACAGAATCTTGCTCTGTAGTTCGGGTTGGCTTTAAACTCACTCTGGAGCCTACTCTAAGTAGCCCTTCTATCTCAGTCTCCTGAGTGCTGGGATTCCAAGTGTGTGCCACCTCATTTTACCATGTGATTTTTCTTCAGCAGTCTCATGCATGACACACTTCCATAGTGCTCAAGTGTGAGCTGCAGAGAGGACAGTGAGGGCTGTATGGGGAGGACGTGGTGGTGAGTCTGCCATACACACATACACAGTTGAATTGGAAGCCTTTCTTTAATTGCTGTGTAGTTCAGGCTGGGCTTGAACTTGCAGTGATCGTCCTGCCTCAGCCTCCTGTGTACTCACTGGAATTGCAGGTGTGTGCCTCCATACCTGGCAGAATACATTTTGTTTTGTTTTGTTTTTTGAAAACCAGGGATCAAACTTGGATCCTTGCACTTGAAAGGCAGGCAACGGAACCACTGAGCTAAATCCCTGGCCCTTGTCTTGTACATTTTTATATGTGGACAATAAGACAATACCTCTTCACTCATTGTGGCCCAGGCAAGGCAAAAAAAAAGGCTGAACAGTCACATGTTAGTTTTTATTTATTGAAATAAGAGATGTTGTGGCATATAACAAAAAATACAATGAATCTCCAGGCTTCTCTTTTCTTTTTTCTTTTTTTTTTTTTGGTACTGGGGATCGAACTTGGGTCCTTGTGCTTGTGAGGCAGGCGCCAGAACCACTGAGCTAATTCCCCAGCCCCAAGCTTTGCTTTTTTATTTACAGGATTTAAAATAGGCCCTTTTCACCAGGTGTGGTGTTGCATGCAGGTCATCCCAGCCCTCTCAGGAGGCTGAGCCAGGAGTAGTATCACTGGGAGTTCAAGGCCAGCCTGAACCACACAGCAAGACCGTGTCTCCAAAAAACAAAAGAAAACACCCAGAAGAAATGTACACACTCTTCCATTTGCAGGTGATCCCCCCACCACCTCCTGTCTGTCCGGACTCATTGGATGATGCAGATGCTTTGGGCAGCATGCTGATGTCATGGTACATGAGTGGCTACCACACTGGCTACTACATGGTAAGTAACGAGTTCCTTTTCCTGCCCTAGTACCAGGGATGGAGCTCAGGACCTTGCACTTGTGAGGTAGGCGCGGTACCACTGAACTAAACGAATTTTCTGTAGCTGTGAGCCTTCTCTGTTTTGTAACTAAAATACAGTTGAGCTGGGCATGGTGGCACACACCTATAATCCCAACACTCGGGAGGCTGAGGCAGGAGGATCACTGTGAATTCGAGACCAGCCTGGGCTACATAGTGAGTTCCAGGTCAGTCTCTACATAGTGAGACCCTGTCTCAAAAAACAAACAAACAAAACAAAACACTTGGGTGCGTAGATCCTAAAGCTGAACGTACATTAAAGTTTTAAAAATAAATCAGGCCAGGTGTGGTGGTGCACATCTGTATTCCAGTTACTCCAGAACAGGAGGATCATTTGAGCCCGTTCAGGTGGGCAGCATGGCAGGACCCCATCTCAGAAAAGAAGCAACTATATGCCTAAGCCTAAAGTTCCTCTTGCATTGTCCTGCTTGCGTATAATTCTAGTTCCTTTTAAAAACCTTTAAAACAAAATTAAAAAAAAAATATGTGTGGTGGCACATGCCTGTGATCCCAGCACTCAGGAGCCCAAGGCAGGAGAATCACCATGATTTTGAGGCCGTTCTGGGGTACATAGACCCTGTCTCAAAAAAACAAAATTATTAAAGTGTACATTTTAAATATACTTAGTTCGTTGTATGTATAATTTCTTTTTTTTTTTTTTTTTT